CCTGTCAAATGCGTGCTCATTAAACTTCTAACATATTATCATCGATATCGGTTATTTATTGAATTGAAAAGGTCAACCTGATGTTTCATTCGGAGACTTTTATATGTACCGGGGACACATTATTATTTATGCATTATAGAATTGTTGACCTTAGCCATAAGGACCATGCTTGATTGATTTTTTTATCACGGTTGGCCGCAATGACTAATAGTGTTGTTGTTTAGCTCAATGTAAACATCCTGATTACAGTGTTAAATTACAACTTGATACGAAAATCAATTTCTTTGGCTACAGCTCAGCTGATGGTGCTGGAGATAAATGTGTTTTATAGCCATAGACACAAAATCTTAATGGTATATATAACATACATGTATGTTTCACGAAAAGACGTCTGTGAAAAAGCATTTGTATGCCATGCGAGGAAAATGCCAACAATGTAGTCTGTTCACTCACAGACAATATGGAGTGGGGGTTCCGGAGGTTGGGGTTGAGGAGGTGTGTGATTGTATAGGCTAGAAAAATGACTTGTGCAGTAGGTATTGATCGAGGTTAAGAATTTTAAGACAATGGAAATTTCAGGTATACATGTATACAAAAGAAATGCCATGGTTTAGGCAAATAAAACGTTACTGGTGTTTCCACTATCTTCCTCAGAAAATATAGGGTAGCAATATAGCATTTTTTTTTCATATTTTGGAAAATATTTTTACTTAATGCTTATATAGAGCAGGAGTTCTGACTTGAACAGTGCCTAACACTAAATGCCAATAAAAACTTAAGGGATCATGCACAAAAATCTACAATAAGTCGGGTTAGTAGAAACCCAAGATTATTTTTATTTGAACCAGAATTGAAAAAAATATTTTTTTTATTGCATTCTTACTGATTTTTTTCCGTTAAACTGTGTACAAAATATGTCTTATTTGGCTTTCACCTGGTGGTGGTAAATTTAATCTATTTTCCAAAACCCATTTACATGAACACACAACAATTGTTAAGATTTAAAGAGTCGAAACCTGTCGAAAGAAATAGTGTGACGTCGCATATACAAAGCATTAAATGAACCTGCAACGTTGACATTGCATTAAGTATAATGAAAGGATCAACAAGGTAAGAGAAAAAAATTCATTCACCCCCTTGAGGTGAGATAGGGGAATCTCAACCCTCAGGGAAAGATTCTTAAGTCGCTTAAAACACTCGGCATTAGCCTTGTGTTTTGCAACTTAAGAATCTCCTCTCGAGGGTTGAGATTAATAGAATCTCTCACCCCCTTGGGGGTGAGATAGGGGAATCTCAACCCGAGGGTGAAGAATCTGATGTTGCCAAACACGAGGCTTTCCCCGAGGGTTGAGATTTCCCTATCTCACCCACAAGGGGGTGAATGATTCTTTTTCTCTTACCCTGTTTTCCCAATGTGTATCATATACACAATGTAATGATAACGTTACATGCTACATTCAGGGTTGACGTGACGTTGATGGATTGTTGACGTGACGTCATTGTATTGCTGAAGTGATGTCATACCATTGTTATGAATAGGGGAATCCCCCCGTCTCAACCCTAGGGTGAGACAAGGAAATCTCACATTGGTAAAAGTGCTGATACACCTGACCAGGGTATAAGAATCCGCTATCTCACCCCAAAGGGGGTGAAATTTAGATTCTATTACTCTTCCCCATTATACAGTACAGAGATATCCACAGTTCCATTCTGGAAAATGTTTTTCTGTCGGCCAATGGTATGTAAGCATACCATTCATAAATATTGTATGACTTCATGTCAACAACTGCAGATCACAAAAGATAACTCCTTGGATACGCTGCAATCAATATTAAATTTTGTGTTTCATAAAATTATATCTCTTATATTTGGGGTAGGAGAAAAAAAGCCTTTTCCCACTTTCGGAGTAAAACAGAAAATCCTCTGCCCTTCAGATAATATTCTTAAAAGTCTGGTTCTTGGCAAATAATTAGCCATGGGCTAGACATTTAAGAATCTCACCCTTCAGGTTGAATTTTTTTCTGTCTCGTTCGCAGGTGGGAAAATATTCTAATAGTCTCTTACCCTGCATGGACAGGTGTATCCACACTTTTACCGGTGTGAGATATCCTCATCTCACCCTAGGGTTGAGACAGGGGGGGAATCCCCTATTCATAACAATGGTATGACATCACGTTAAGTCGTCAACAATACAATGACAATGACGTCACATCAACAACCCATCAACGTCACGTCAACCCTGAATTTTGCATATGATAAAAAGTGGCTGAACAGGGTAAGAAAAAGAATCATTCACCCCCTTGAGGGTGAGATAGGGGAATTTTGGCCCTCGGGGAAAGATTCTTATGTTGCCAAACTCTCAGCAAAGCGTCATATTTGGCAACTTAAAAACCTTCCTGCTAGGGTTGAGGGGAGGGGATTCCTCATAAAAACAGTAGGAGGTCACAACGGCAATGCATAATATATCAGACAGGATCAGCAGGTTTAAAGAGAAAAAGAATCATTTATCCCCTTAGGGTTGAGATGGGGAGGAAGGGGTCTCAATCTTCACAGAAAGATGCTTTAAAGTTGCCAGTTGGATGGTCAGGTGGCACGTACGTGGATAACCCACTCATCTTTCACCAATGCAAGATGATCAGGGATTTATTCCCCAGTCGTATGTGGAAAGGTATGGGGGTCACCTGCTCAACCATGTGGGTTTTGTCTCGGACCTCCAGTTTCCTCCCACATTAATTAAGACCCTCTGCGCACTAATATCCAGGCCAAAATGAGTGATTAATATAGGTTGTTAGAAGCTGTTTCGCAAATGTTGTAAAATGAATATATATACATGCATGTATATTTTTAAGTTGCCAAACACTTAGTAAGCCATATGTTGGCAATTTAAGAATCTTCCCCCTCAGGTGTAGATTCCCTATCCCTCCCCCAACAGTGGAAAAGATTCTGTAAGTCTCACTCTAGAATTATGACAAAGGTACGACATCACATCATTGCATGATATATGTATGACAGGACTAAAAAGATAAGAGAAGAAGAAAAAAATCATTCCCCCTAAAGGGGTGAAATAGGGATCTAATCCATAAGAGGAATTTTCTTCAGTTGCTAAACATTCCACACGACGTTTGTTATAAAAGTACATAACAATTTTCTTGTCCATGCTGAGATCCTTACCTCAGCCCTAAAGGGGGTGAAAGATTCTCTTAATCACGGTGTGTACAAAGAATTTGTGTGTCAAGCAATTTAATATAAGGCTTTACGTATTGCCTCCGAGGTTTTCACAAAACCTTATCATTGCAAATAGTCAATAATAGAAAAAACAAGTACCCAGGGTTTCTATCAGAAGTCTTTGTCATCTAAACAAAACACTTTTAAGTAACTGCTAACAAAAAAATACATACTTGATCACTTGTCTGTATTTTCACCAGCTAGGTTTGCTATATTTTCCATTTTAAGTGAGCTTATGCCAATACCGTGGCGTCTGTCGTCCGTCGGTCGTTCGTATGTCAACAATTTCTTCAAACGACTTCTTCTTCTTAACCACTGATTGGAACTTAACTAAATTTGACAGGAAGCATTCTTAGGTGGTGGGGATTCAAAATTGTACAAATGGTGGGGCTGAGGGGCGGGGCCAAAAGGGGTCAATTTGGCTATATTGCTATAAACGACTTCTTCTGTAGAACTATGCACTGGATATCAATCATATTTGGTCATAAGCATTAATGGGAGGTGGGGATTCAAAATTGTACAAATGGCTGACCCCCCGGGCTAAGGGGTGAGGCCAATAAAAGTTTATTACTCTGAAATGGTTGAGATCCCCACCCTATAACCTTATATACAATTGTTGAGTATAAAGAAAAGAATGTGCATATGTTCCAGGATGGTCATGGAGTCTGGCCCCACCCTTGGAGACAAAGTCCCTGGGTCATTACTTTGAAACGGTTGAGATCCCCACCCCAAAACTATATATACAATTGCTGGGGATAAAGAGACAAATTCAGTCATGATATTTGAATAGACCCTGGGGTCTGACAGAACCCCTAGGAACCTAGTTTCTGAGTCAAAGCTTGGAAACAGTTGAGATCCCCACCCTATAACCATGTATACAATTGCTGAGTATGAAGAGATGAATGCACATATGCTTCCAGGAGGGGCCCGGGTCTGCCCCATGCAACCTTGGAGACTTAACCCCTGGGTCATAACTTCGAAACGGTTAAGATCCCTACCCCAAAACTAAATATACAATCGTGGGCATAAAGAGATGAATGCAGTCATGATATTAGAATTGACTCCAGGGTCTGCCCTGCCCTTGCAGACTTAACCCATTGGTCATAACTTTGAAACAGTTGAGATCCCCACCCCAAAACTATATAAACAAATGCTGGGCATAAAGAGAGGAATGCAGTTATGATACTAGAATTGATCCTGGGGTCTGGCCACAACCCTAGAGACCTAGTTTCTGAGTCACAGCTTGGAAATAGTTAGGATCCCCACCCCATAACCATACATAAAAGTGCTGAGCATGAAAAATTCAATACAGATATGCTACAAGGATTGGCCTTAGGGTCTGGCCTATTCCCTTGGATCTCTTATGGAGAACATTTTGCCATGATTGCTTAGATATCTAGGTGAGCGATATAGGCCCTCTGGGCCTCTTGTTCTAAGTCTTTGCCCTATATATACTATATGTACAACCCAGGTTTGGGTATCCCCTTTCCTAAATGTACACCCGATGCTTGAAACAAGGGTTGGTAATATCGCCAATTTTGTAACAGGAGAAAGAGAAATGCAATGGCCATATTGGGGTTTGAACCCAGGACTCTTGAGCATCCTTCTGTATTTTCATTGTTTTTCTGTAATTTATTCCTGTTTTATAAGCATCTTTTATATTTTCAGTTTCGTTTTTCTGTCATTATTCATTGTATACCATGCATGTTTTCTGTCTTTAATTGTTCCATATCGTAAAAAACGTAATGGTGGGTATTTTTATTTTTTCTCTTCAGGTCGTGACCCCAAAACCATAGAGCGGGCTAACCTGTTGAATATCTGTAAGCTTGTCATCAAGGAGCTGCTAGACTCGTCAATTTCACAGGGACGCATGCTGGATGATGAACACGTACCCCTGCAGCAGTTCTTTGTCGTCTTGGAGCATGTCCTCCGCCACGGTATCAAACGTAAGTCCGCTGCAGCAAATGTTTGTCTTTGAGTATGACCTTATCTATGGTATATAATGTAAAACTTCAATTAAACATGCATATAAAGTCAATTTCACTTAAAGCTGTGTGGAATGATAAACTGGGTACTTAACCCTTTCACCCCTATGTAACTCGAGTAGATTCTACCATGCATTGATATGGATGAGTCCATTATGGTCTACAGTGGTGAAAGGGTTAATTCACTTTGAGTATTGGATAGGGAAGGGTATGTATCAGGTGGATGGTTGGATAATATAATTACAAATAGAGGGAAGATTTAATACTTTCACCCCTATGTAACTTAGTAGACTCTACCATGTTTTGATCTGGATGATTCCATACAGTGGTCTACAGTAGTGAAAGGGTTAATCATGACATACTCCAGTATCACTATCTGATGATACTTCGGAATGCTGCGATTAAACCTCCTTCTAAACAGAAGTATGAATTTACATGTGCTACCATTTGAAATAACTTTAAACATTTCCTCCTATGTTCCATTGGGTCAAGCATTTTGTACTTGACCTCTTTCGAAGGTCAGTTGCCCTTGGATTATAACTTGGACATGGTCACAGGGGTGAAATGTGTTGAAATTTTCGAACTACTTCTTCTGAAGAACCAAGAGGCCCAGAGTGACAATGGTGACCAGTCTAAGCCTGCTTTGTAATGAATGACATAGACCCACTTCTACGGCACAGGGGTCAAATAAAGCAAACCAAAGAAAAACAAAATAGCATGTGGGCATTAAAGTCCTATTGTGAATGAAGTCTGTCAAATTGTTAGCTAGCAATTTCTAGTTATATACATCATAAGTAGAAATGGTTACTTAGAGAAAATCTTATGACTACATATTTTTCCATACAAATATACATATGTTTTCATTTTTTAAATTATTTAATCTATTTAGTAAAACAGTTAACACTTGGTGTTTTAGAAATAATTACTAGGTATTTGTGGTGTAAACATTGGGTCATGATGCAATGTTTAGAAGAGTCTGAACTATTTGTGGTGTTAAACAGCAGCATTGCTGAAAATAATGTTTAACTGTTTAAACAGCTAGAAAAGGTATCCTTCGGGACAAGAAGGACTTCTGGTGTGTCCTGGAGATGGTGGAGAAGTTGGTCCCGGAAGCCTCGGAGATCAGCACCAGCGTCCGGGACATGCCCCATATCAAGTAAGGGCTTTGTTAAATGTTGTAGCATATCCAATGCCAGGGTTGTGTTATTTATTTAGAGACTTTGTAGGCGGTTAATTTCAATACCTGTGAGGTTGACAACAGAATATTAGTCAGATGAGTTTCAATTTGTAAAAAATATCAGGAAAAGAGAAAATCTATCTTTTTGTCTCGCCGCCACGAAGTTGAAGCGAGACTAAGGTGTTGCTTTGGCGGCGGCATTAACATTAAGTTTTGTGTTAATGTAAGTTTCCCTGAAAGTATAAGTGATAGACCAACCAAACTTAGGTAGTACATCTCAACCCAAGCATCAGAGGCTGGATGCGGCCTACCTTTCATGGTCCATTGACTTTATGGTCATAGCGGGGCATAGGCGAGACATATCAATCTATCCGGATGGCTTGTTTAATAAAACAGTGGCTCGTAAGTATTTCGACCCTTGTTGATAAATATATATCAAGTGAAAGGTTATTGGACCATTTTAGTTCATATCAACAGTAACCGAGTTTTACAGGGATTGTATTTACCATCTCCTTTGTGTTACAGAACCCCTCTAGGACGAGCTAGGGCCTGGCTGAGACTGGCGACCATGCAGAAGACCTTGGCTGACTATTTTAAGGTGTTGATGGAGAAGAAGGATGTAGTTCTGAGGTATGTGTAGCTGTATATTGAAGGCAGTACATTGACACGGTAGACAAGGCTGACTTTGTCAGAACGGTAATATAGTATTCCAGATACCCGGCTGGTCAGGTGGTGCAGTGCATAGCGCACTTGCCTTTTACCAAGGCGGCCAGGGTTCAATTCCCTGATCGGACGTGAAAAGGTTAAGGGTCACCTGCCCGACCACTTGGGTTTTCTCTGGGTACTCCGGTTTCCTCCTACACTAAGACCCCGGCACGCTAACATACGGGCCAACAAGAGTGATTAATATAAGTTGAAATAACTTGTTTCATAATTGTTGTAAAATAAATATAGTTTATTATAGTATTCCAGAACATGAGCAAGCAAAGAAAATGATTTCAGAAATGTGTCTCCTGTGAGAGGATATGTACACATTATATATATAAAACTATAAAAAAAAGTAAAAACAATAATTCAATTTTTACAAAATTCCTGATATTTTAAAATGTTTGATTGAATGGTTATTCATTTTATTTCCATTATGGTGTCTTATTTCAATCTATTAATTTTACTACCGGTAAGCAAGTACTGGAAATATAACAGCTATTGATTTAGAGTTATCTCCCCTTTTTGTTCTGAGTCATATTAACATTCATCAATCTTAAAGTGTAGAATTAAAGTGTTTAAGGTTATGTTTAACTACTGTTTAAAAACCATCTTGAAATGCACAAGGTAATGAATTGTGCTTCCACCAAGGATTGAACTCGCGACCCCAGACTTCCTAGTAGGATGCTCTACCACTGAGCTTAAGGGAAATCCTTACGTAAAGCTAGAAAGTGACTGTGATCTTATGTACAATTAAAACCTGCCTCACATGAATATTGAATCTGATGTTAATAGATTTCCTTCTTGTGTCCCTATCCTAAATGTGTATATACATACTGTGTATATATGCTTAAACATAATCTTTATTTGGGGATCTGCAAAAAAAAGTAAGAGTGTCGAAATTGAGGTAAAATGGCTTTAAAATCTTTTCAGTCTGATAATAATAAGACCCTTAAATTAACTCATTCACCTCTGAAATTTCATAATGAACTATTCCAACCTTTGAATTAGAAGAGTTCAAATGTGGCTTTAGGGGTGAATGAGTTACTCGTTTTTATTTCTGTAAATATTATTGTACTATGCATGTAGATCTCAGATCTATATTCCGTTGTATAAGGAAGTTCTTTTTAAGGTAAGTGTGTTTTTCAATGCAGATACTATTTGTGTTTCTAGTGAGTTTTACGACCCGGGGGCGATGATGGTGGAAGATGAGGGGATGGTTATCGCAGGACTGCTAGTTGGACTCAATGTCATCGACTGTAATATTTGCGTGAAAGAGGAGGATCTAGACCAACCTGTAAGTTATTTAACTCATTCACCCCTGAAGTTTCATAATGAACTATTGCAACCTTGAATTCAGGAGTGAATGTGTTAAGTGTCAAAATAAATTATTTTTTCATTGTTTACTATTTCCAAAAAGCTTCAAACGTCCTTTGAAAACCATTTGTGAATTTCTGTCCAAATTTGAATTCAACAACACAACATGATTAGTTCCCTTAAAGATAAAGATAAAGATGAAATTTAAAGGGAGATGACTCCTGCAGTTTGACAGGGATCCTTAAGTGAAATTGTAATACCTGCAGGACCAGGTTGAAAGCATAAATTTCTAGAATGTTTACATGGTATGTTCATAAAACGGTACAGCATACTTGAAACATGTTGACATCTTACATTGTATGCTGCAATGTTAGCTTTTTGTAAGTGTCCAGAATATTTACATCAAATATGGTTAACAGACTTATATATACAAATGTCAGGGTTACAGCATAGAAACAGCAAGAATACAGCATACACACATCAAAATTATAGCATACAAACAAAAAGAATACAGCTTACACACATCAAAATTACAGCATACAAACAGAAAGAATACAGCATACTTGAACATCAAAATTACAGCTTACAAACAGAAAGAATACAGCATACACACATCAAAATTACAGCAAACAAACAGAAAGAATACAGCATACACACATCAAAATTACAGCATACAAACAGAAAGAATACAGCATACACACATCAAAATTACAGCATACAAACAGAAAGAATACAGCATACACACATCAAAATTACAGCATACAAACAGAAAGAATACAGCATACACATCAAAATTACAGCAAACAAACAGAAAGAATACAGCATACACACATCGAAATTACAGCATACAAACAAAAAGAATACAGCATACACACATCAAAATTACAGCATACAAACAGAAAGAATACAGCATACACATCAAAAATACAGCAAACAAACAGAAAGAATACAGCATATACACATCAAAATTACAGCATACAAACAGAAAGAATATATCATACACACATCAAAATTACAGCATACTAAAAGCAAGGATAAGCATATACACATCAAAATTACAGCGCAGTTAATGATTTTTGACAATTAACTTACAAAATCACTTAAAAATGATGTGCAATATCAATATTTGAATCAAGTTCAGTTTTTTTCGCTTGATGATTTGTTAACATTTTTTCTTCTTTGAAATTGTATTCTACGATGCTTTTTAACAAAGATTAAACACAGTTATTGTTATTCTGTTGTAGATGGGTGTGATAGACTTTAGTTTGTATCTTAAAGACACACGGTTACACGACCAGTCTCCTGATGAAGACAGGTAAAAGGCCAGCTCGACAGATCTCTGATCTCAGTCTCTTGAAAATAAGTTTTTTTCTTAATTTTTTTTTCCAACTGTTGTTTCATTAGTGTATGAACATGTGTATTCGGTATTTTATATTTGTTCGAAATTTTGAATGAATATTTATATATGTTAATTTATTTATAAATGTGTTAAAATACTTTTCTTCTATAAAATATAACATTTTTTCCAGGTGAAGTCTTTATAAAGATTTGTTCAAATGAGTTTTTCTTGATATTTAAATCCCTTCTTAAATCACCAATAAATCTGGAAAAAAAAATCATCTATTTCTAGATTATAAACAGTATAAATTTATAATACTAAATATTGATAAAAGGAATATTTCAAAATTTCTTATTTGGATATTAATACCTATTTTTCAGATTTAGCTCTTCAGATTTCCTAGTTCACTGTGGAGCCAATTCATTTTACAAAAAAATAAAAAAAATATAACCTGTTAAATTCTTGTTTCTGTTTCGAAATATGTTATACTCAAATTATTGTTTCTTTTCAGTGCTGAAGGAAAATCCAAAATGGCTACAATTTTAGATCAGAAAAATTACCTTGAAGAATTGAATAGGCATTTGAAGTAAGTTGCATATGAATCATAGGGCTGCAATGATGTTCATGTATATCGTGCAATGATATCTCACGATATTTTGAATAGGGTACGATACACAATATTTTTTTCCAGAGGTTATGATACGATATTTTCCTGATTTTGTCATTTCTGAATTTAGTCTTCTCATATTGGTTCCAACATAACAAGTGAAAGCTGCCGTTGGCAAGCACGTCAAAAGGCATGAATTGTGTGAAAATTTAAAATCATACCCATTTTGGACCAAGTCTGTTTCCTGTTGTAATATTGCCATTACAAATCTAAAACATAGTACATATCTTTTCTCATTGCTTCTTCTGTTGCTATATGTATCGTGATATGTATCGTATCGTGATACGTATTGTATCATGACCACAGTATCGTGATACGTATCGTATCGTGACCACAGTATCGTGATACATATCGTATCGTGATACGTATCGTATCGTGACCACAGTATCCTGATACATATCGTATTGTGACCACAGTATCGTGATACGTATTGTATCATGACCAAAGTATCGTGATATGTTTCGTATCGTGACCACAGTATCGTGATACCTATCGTATTGTGACCACAGTATCGTGATATGTATCGTATCATAACCACAGTATCGTTATACGTATTGTATCATGACCACAGTATCGTGATACGTATTGTATCATGACCACAGTATCGTGATACGTATCGGATCATGACCACAGTATCGTGATACGTATCGTATCATGACCACAGTATCGTGATATGTATCGTATCGTAACCACAGTATCATGATACGTATTGTATCATAACCACAGTTTCGTGATACGTATTGTATCATGACCACATTATCGTGATACGTATCATAACCACAGTATCGTGATACGTATCGTATCATGACCACAGTATCCTATCATGACCACAGTATCGTATCATGACCACAGTATCATGAAACGTATCGTATCGTAACCACAGTATCGTGATATGTATCGTATCATGACCACAGTATCGTGATACGTATTGTATCATGACCACAGTATCATGATACGTATCGTATCATGGCCACAGTATTGTGATGCGTATCGTATCGTGACCACAGTATCGTGATACGTATCATATCATGACCACAGTATCGTGATACGTATTGTAACATGACCACAGTATCATGATACGTATCGTATCATGACCACAGTATCTTGATACGTATCGTATCATGACCACAGAATCATGATACGTATCGTATCATGACCACAGTATCATGATACTAATCGTATCATGACCATAGTATCGTGATACGTATCGTATCATGACCACGGTATCGTGATACGTATCGTATCGTGACCACAGAATCATGATACGTATCGTATCATGACCACAGTATCCTGATACGTATCATATCATGACCACAGTATCGTGATACGTATCATATCATGACCACAGTATCGTGATACGTATTGTAACATGACCACAGTATCATGATACGTATCGTATCATGGCCACAGTATTGTGATGCGTATCGTATCGTGACCACAGTATCGTGATACGTATCATATCATGACCACAGTATCGTGATACGTATCATATCATGACCACAGTATCGTGATACGTATCGTATCATGACCACAGTATCATGATACTAATCGTATCATGACCATAGTATCGTGATACGTATCGTATCATGACCACAGTATCGTGATACGTATTGTATCATGACCACAGTATCGTGATACGTATCGTATCATGACCACAGTATCATGATACTAATCGTATCATGACCATAGTATCGTGATACGTATCGTATCATGACCACAGTATCCTATCATGACCACAGGATCGTATCATGACCACAGTATCATGAAACGTATCGTATCGTAACCACGGTATCGTGATATGTATCGTATCATGACCACAGTATCGTGATACGTATCGTATCATGACCACAGTATCATGATACTAATCGTATCATGACCATAGTATCGTGATACGTATCGTATCATGACCACAGTATCATGATACTAATCGTATCATGACCATAGTATCGTGATACGTATCGTATCATGACCACAGTATCCTATCATGACCACAGTATCGTATAATGACCACAGTATCATGAAACGTATCGTATCGTAACCAAAGTATCGTGATATGTATCGTATCATGACCACAGTATCGTGATACGTATTGTATCATGACCACAGTATCATGATACGTATCGTATCATGGCCACAGTATTGTGATACGTATCGTATCGTGACCACAGTATCGTGATACGTATCGTATCGTGACCACAGTATCGTGATATGTATCGTATCGTGACCACAGTATCGTGATATGTATCATGACCACAGTATCGTGATATGTATCGTATCATGACCACAGTATCGTGATACGTATCGTATCGTGACCACAGTATCGTGATATGTATCGCATCGTGACCACAGTATCGTGATATGTATCATGACCACAGTATCGTGATATGTATCGTATCATGACCACAGTATCCTATCATGACCACAGTATCGTAACCACAGTATCGTGATATGTATTGTATCATGACCACAGTATCCTATCATGACCACAGTATCGTATCATGACCACAGTATCGTGAAACGTATCGTATCGTAACCACAGTATCGTGATATGTATCGTATCATGACCACAGTATCGTGATACGTATCGTATCATGACCACAGTATCATGATACGTATCGTATCGTGACCACAGTATCGTGATACGTATCATATCGTGACACGTATCGTATCGTGACCACAGTATCGTGGTACGTATCGTATCGTGACCACAGTATCGTGATACGTATCGTATAGTGACCACAGTCTAGTGATACATATTGTATCGTGACCACAGTATCATGATACTATAGTACCTTGACCACAGTATCGTGATACGTATCATATCGTGACACGTATCGTATCGTGACCACAGTATCGTGGTACGTATCGTATCGTGACCACAGTATCGTGATACGTATCGTATAGTGACCACAGTCTAGTGATACATATTGTATCGTGACCACAGTATCATGATACTATAGTACCTTGACCACAGTATCGTGATACGTATCATATCGTGACACGTATCGTATCGTGACCACAGTATCGTGGTACGTATCGTATCGTGACCACAGTATCGTGATATGTATCGTATCGTGACCACAGTATCGTGATATGTATCGTATCGTGACCACAGTATCGTGATACGTATCGTATAGTGACCACAGTCTAGTGATACATATTGTATCGTGACCACAGTATCATGATACTATAGTACCTTGACCACAGTATCGTGATACGTATCATATCGTGACCACAGTATCGTGATATGTATCATATAATGGAAAAAAAGGTTAAAAAATGTTGAGTGCATCTTTACAGAACATTACCTAATACTACCAGGGGCTGCAGTGGCCAAGTGATTAAGGCACCTAACATTCTTCTACCACTAGCCTTCCACCATGTGGTCGAGGGTTAGAGACCTATGTTGGGTAGTCGCCAGGTACTGGCCGTTGGTCGGGTCCTTTTTTTTCCTGGGAACTCTGACTTTCCCCAACATTAAACTCTGGCATGTCCTTAAATGGCCATAGCTGTCAATAAGACGTAAAACACAAACAAACCAAACCAAACCAAACTAATTCTACCATGTTTTTCGCAGTGCTACAGTAACAAATCTACAACAAAAGATGGAGACAGCACAGACAACTAATGCCTTAATGAAGGAAGATTTGGCCATTTCTAAAAACGCCATTCTCTCTCTTCAAGAGGAAAATGAGATACTATTGGCAGAGAAAGGCAGCCTTCTCCAGGATGCTCAAAATAAGATGGAGGTAAGGCCACAGCATTGAAATAGACTGTTCTGTTCTCTACTTTTTACTCAGAAAACCTTCAAAGTGGGGTAGTTGTGATTGGTTGTTTTCCATATCGTCAACGTAGAATTATAAATAGTAGTTTCTATAGGTAATCTGTGTTTTTGAAAACATTGAAGTAGTCTGTCTATAGATTATGTGCGTAAAAGTATCACAGAGTGACAATAGCCAGGCTCTGGTTTAAAATGTTCATATAGTTCCTTACTAGCTTTGACTAAGTACCACATTCTCAGTATCTCCATCTTTTTGTTAAATAGTTTGAGAAATATTTGGAAATAACGTTTATGCGTATGACTATTTAAGTTTTAACACAAACTTTCAAATAGTGATTCTTTCAAATGTTAATACACCAACAATTTAAATGAAAAATTCAACAGAGATGGGATGTGAAAACGGATTCTTATATATATTTGCTGCCATAAGGAAGAAATAATTTGGGGGAATCTGATTATAGATAAGTCTTATATTAGACAATCTTAATTGAGTATATTAACATTTCCATGGCTAGTTCCTCTATGAGCATTATTACCATATGAAATTGCGTTCATAGGGCTATGAAAGCAATTTGATCGGTGTCATTTCGAAGCTTCTCCTTCCCCTTCGAATAACATGAGACAACTGCTACAAGCAAACATTTTGATGACTTTTGCTGTTCCAGGAATCTCATTTGCACTGACAATATAAACACTTCAATATCGGAAATATGAGGGAATATCTGTGTTTAGGTCAATAATAAGTAAAAATTTAGAATGTAAATATAAGGATTGAACGGTATTTGTTCAATGTTCATGCTGGTATGAATGCAAATAGGTTATATACATATTCCTTGAAGCCCGCTGCATTCATACCATCATGAAATTGAAGAAATGCCGTTCAATCCTTATAAAAATCTTCCGCATGGTCCACAAGACAACCGTCTGGACTTTTTACTGAACATTGTGTCACTTTAATCATAAACATGGAGAAAACTGGATTATGATGAAATAATCTATGTTTTTTAAAGATGAAATGAAACTTTTTACACCAGACAGAAATCAAATGTGATTTTGTTGTGTGGGTTTTGGCATGCGCAAAGAATTATCGTTATTCAAGGGAAGTAACTGTTTATAAATGTTTCAAAATCTTCAAGTTTTTATATTTGGAGATTTTTTTTCCTCATAAAATGCAAAAAAAACCCACAAAAACAAAATAAAAAGGAGAATGTGATTTTGAAAGATGAGTCCAACTGTTTTATTTTTTATATTTATTATAACCATAGTCTTGTTTCATGTCATATTTTTTTTAAATGGTCAAAGAAAATATGGAGAGCGACGTGTGGGGATAATACTGTTACAATTTGTTTGCAAATGTGGTGATCGGTTAATCCTGTAAAACATCACCAGACTAATTTTACAATATTTATCATCTAATTTCAAATATTTAAATATTCTTCACAACGTGTAAATTGTAGAATGGTAGACAATACTAAATTATATAAAATATCGCAGACTTACTAAAAGATGGGTATATCCAGTCATCATGGCAAAATTAAGATTACTTTATCATGGTGAACTTAACAAAATTGAAATTCATAAGTTATTAAGAGGTATAAATAATAATTAAGATATGGAGATGGAGGCAAATTATAAATGCGCCCATAATTATCTTAATTAATAAAGTAGAGGTCTTGTGACGCAAACATGCACGCATACGCGATCTTTCTACAGACAGAATTGAATTTATTGAGTCAGTTACATGTTCAAACATATTATTTGAAAACACTTTCCATTGGTCTTACAGTCAGAAATCAAAACGGCATCGGTAAGTCACATCTGTTGTTACCGTTCGGGCCAGCCGTCATACTCTTCGTGTTATATAATTTATAACCTGCTTCCTGTCTTATGTTTTGCACAAAAATAAAAATTCTTCACTATATCCAGATTTGATGTTTTCCTATATATAATAGCAATGAATTTTGTACGGCGCTAAAGGTGAAAGCATCTCTGATTTAAATTCATCAGAGAAGTGAAATAATTCGTTCGTAGCATTTACTTTTTATGTACAGTGGTTACTTTTTCGAAAATGCCTTATTTTGCATAAAAAAATCATTTACATTAGTTTCCAACATGTTAACCCTAGGTCTTTACTCAGAGGTATTTATCCTTCTGGGCAAATTCACAGAGAGGGTTAAAAGTGTGTGAAACTTTTTGCGACATTTCTTCAGTTCTTTGGTGTAGTAAAACTTGTTTTACCAAATAAATCATCAGTACCCTGTATTACTGTTAACGTACTCATTTTAGCGCACTATCGATTTTGAACAATTTAGTGCATTGCAATTGATGAATTGGCACATTAAAAAAAATGTGCAATAAAAACGATATTACAGTAGTTTCAATTCAGAATCTCATAATTCAGTGCAAAAATATAGCACTTTAAAAAGCAATAAAATAAGACTACCGCTAAAATATGAAAGCTTACAGTATTTTGAAAAATTCATTTCCGCACTGAACATGCTGCCACATTCCCAAAGTATAAACACTTCAGTACCCAACAAAGACCGGTGTCAATCATCACTAGCTCATTTAAATATCCTGTTCATTCAACCAATGTCCAATGTTCAATAGCCAAATATATATCATATTAAATGAAAGTGAATCAATTAGGTTACACCATCCAAAGCACTGACCCTGGATAATACAAAATTGTGCACACACGCCTCATTTCTGTTATATATTTTATTTTGTTTAAATTGCCTTTCCAAGATTTTGATATGATTTTCTTAAAATATCTTTAAAACGATATGAAATTCCTTACAATTGTTATGAAATAAGGATAAATTAAGTAGCTGACGGTTGACTGCTAATTGTGACCTTCCACCTGCATACATCCGTAAAAAAAGAGAAAAATATCTATTACTTACAATTACATGATTTTTTTTAAACATTACAACATGCTGACATGTACAGTATAATGATATGTATACATGTAGTTGTACTGATGATGTTACCAATGATATATATTTTTTCCTTAAAATACATAAGTAAGCATTTGATTACGAAGGGAGATAACTGTTACAAGCATATCCTTGCTTACTGGATAAAGTGGTGCACATGTTCTTGGTTCTCTACTCTATGCAATACAATGTAAATTGACAACTTCATCAAGTTTTATAATAGCCAATTACTTTTTATAAGTGATCGTAGCCTTGTGCTGTTCTGCACGAGGCTTTCTCCCCCTAGAGAATGACAAGTTGATCTTTCAAGGTTAAAATGGAAGATACACCTATGAAGGATCGGAGAATATATTATCAAGTTTTGACAACGAACATCTATATTCTTTATTTATTTGTGAGCCACCCTTGTGTAATATGCATTTCTTAAAAAAAAAATTAAAAAAAAACCCCTACTATTTTTCATAATTAATTCTAAATATATATTTGAAATACTGTAATCAGAATTATGTTTTGCAGGCTAGTAAACAAGATATAGAAACTGAGAGAGAAACGTACCAGACCTCTCGGGCAGGGCTCGATGAAATGTACGGCGACATGAAAAAAAAGTTGGATGATGAAACGCACACAAGACTAGTGAGTAGCCTCATTTTCATATTAATATTCATAACCTACAGCTGTTAATTTAATGTATTTTTTTTAGCAGTTATCATAGTAAAGTCCTTTTCATGCTAATTTCATAACTCTATTATTATAATGTTATGGTTGGTGGGGGGGTATTGTTATTATTGATATGAATTACCCATGTCCATCTGATGTCCAGTGGCGGCCTGTCCTGATGCCAGATTCTGTGTCATTCCCATAGCGACTTCATTTCTCATCAGGTTTTGATCAAATTTGATACAAAAGGTCAAATATCAGAATACTTCAAATTTGAATATTAGGGAGTCAAGGTGGAGGTTAGCGTTGCTATCTATGAATAGTTGTCAATCAATGAAATAATATGATCCGGCTAGGGGGCATTCATGTCTTACAGACATTTTGTAGTTAGGGTGCCGTATCGGAGATACAGGTGCTTTATAGTAATCACTCTGTCTGTCTGTCCATCCGTCCGTCCACAAATTTTGTTCCTGGCTGATAACTTTGGTATTTATTGACTGATTTTATGAAACTTGGTCAAGATGTTCACAAAAATACACATGGAGGTGAAAAGTCAAGGTCAAAGGTCAAGGTCATTTTATGACATCATGAAGCAAAGTTGGTCGGAATTTAACAAAGAGACACACCCAAGGTAAAAAGTCAAGGTCATTAGGTTCAAAGGTCAAGGTCAAATTTTGCATCTTTTCACTGATGAACATTTTGTTATGACATGATGCAGTTGATCAGAATTAAACAAGGAGTCAACTGACTAAAGGTCAAGGTCATCCTGACCAAAGGTCAAGGTCATTGTGTCAAAGGTCAAGGTCAAATTTTGTAGCTTTTCAATAATGATCATTTTATGACATTATCACTGATGAACTTGTTGTTATGACACTATGAAGCAATGTTAATCAGAATCAAACTAGGAGTCAACTGACCACAAAGGTCAAGGTCATTGGGTCAAAGGTGAAGGTAAAATTTGTTTCTTTTCACTGGTGAACATTTCGTTATGACATTTTGAAGCAATTATGCTCAGAATTAAACAAGATTGAACAAAGGTCAAGGTCACTGGGTCAAAGATGAAGGTCAAATTGTGTCTCTTTTCCCTGAAGAACATTTTGTTATGACATTATGTAGCAAAGTTGTCCAGAATTTAACACTGGGTCAAAGGTGAAGGTTAAATTTTGCATCTTTTCACTGGTGAACATTTTATTATGACATTATGAAGCAACATTGGTCAGAATTTAACAGAGAGTCAACTGACTTAAGGTCAAGGTCACTGGGTCAAAGGTCAAGGTCAAATTTAGTATATTTTCACTGATGAACATTCTGTTATGACATTATGAAGCAAAGTTGGTCTGAATTTAAGAATAAGTCAACCAACTAAAGATCAGGATCACTGAGTTAAGGAATAAGGTCATTTGGGTCGAAAGGTCAAAGACAAAGTGGATCTCTGACTTTGACCATGACTCTTGATGGGGGAGGTATTTAAGGTGAAATAAAACAAATCAAAACTAACAAATGAGTATTGCACCGGTATTTACATTTCTGTTAGCCCAGCAAATATGAAGGTGGAAGGAAACATGACTCACATCATAGTATATGTAAAATGTATATTTTGCTTTCTTGCGATTCTTTATGAAGTACAAATGTCAGACATCAAGCTTAGCTATAGGGGTAGATTGCTTCTTGATGATTATGGGGGCTATATTGCCACAAGACGGGGCCCTTACTGACCTGTCAGTGTTCTTGTTTGATAAACATTAATCCAGATAAATGAATATTTTGTTAATGCTGTATGATATGATACCTCAAAAGTGACACATTATCATTCTTTAGGACGTGGAAAAAGAGTTGGAACTCCAGATCGGTATGAAACAGGAAATGGAGATGGCGTTGAGGATTTTAGAAAAAGATATTCATGAAAAACAAGATACCATGATATCTTTACGAAAACAGCTCGAAGAAATCAAAACAATAAACCTGGAACTTTACCAGAAATTACAGGTAAGACCCAGATAATGACAGTTTACCAGTTAACACATAGCTGTATGGATCTAGTACAGCAAACAAATCAAGATGAGCCCAAGCTACAAGTAGTGAAATGAAACATTTTCCAGCTTAGAATTTAAAGAAACCACACTGATTCCTGGGTTTTCAACTTAGTATTGTGGTAACTGTGTTTGTGATATTTGAAGTTTGCTTATAGTGGTTTACGAAAGTTATATGCAAGACCTAGATTTTGTTTGGACATCAAAGATGGGGTTGTTGCACCAAGTACATTGCCATATTTTTAGTCACGTTTAAGATGTATTCGGAGAAGATATATGCAGAGGAGGCACGTCCTTAAATGACCTTGACTGTTGATCGGACCTTAAACAAAATGAAATCAAACCAAAACCAAAGTCCAAACTGAAGAAGTACATTAAATACTTGTTATTTGTTTGGTTTGTGTGACATTCTTTAACAAAAAAGGTTCCTTATTTCACACTTTCTAAATGTTTTCTTGCTGACATGTTTTTGTTTCCATATGAGACTGAATTCATTTAGAAAGTTATCAAGACTGGTAACAAAAACCATGCCAAGTCCTTCAGTGTCATTTTAACATATATCGACAATGTACTTCATGATAATTAGTAAACAACATCAGTCTTATATACACCCCAGATATTAGAATTAAGACAATAAAGATTCTTGATCGTCAGCCACTTTCGTCGATCTTCACTTACAACATGACCTACAGGGACAGCTCACTACAGAGTGGTACAATAAGCATGACAATTTGAAATTTAAGATCGTGAATTTTCCCATTCCTGATAGCAACATCCCTACATTCCAAATCTATAATGTTGACATGTTGCGGTTGATTCAATATTCAAGATCTTGCTCCACATATCATGATATCCCTGGTAGATGTCGACTGCTGATGGACAAAATTCAAACATGGGTTTTCCTTGTTGTTTCATTGTCACTACCCTGGTTCTCACTTGGAGGACATGGCATTGATTTTATTTGACCTCTATTTACATGTAAGGTAGAAGACCCGGTTTTAATTCTTCTTGTACTGTTTTTTCAAGATTTTAAAAGAATAAAAATCCTTTGTTCATATTTTGCTCTAGTTAATTTCGATTTTGAGTTCGAATGATAGTTTTATTGATACTCTGGTATTTTCTTCTTCTTTTTAATCACTCCTGTGGGAACCCCAGTGGGGACTATAACTTTCGGTTTCAGTCCCAGATTTTGACCTCTGTTGTCTTGGGCTGTTAAGTGTATTGCTTCTGTTGGAATATACCAGGCGCTAATTACAAGCTCTTGGATAACTCGGATATCAATTTCCTTTTTAAACAGGAATAGCATAAAACCTAAAGGCGTTTCAAATTTAACACGGGAATTACATATTACCTTAAGTTGTTCCGAGTATGAATCAGGCACCTTTGAGGTTCCCGAAGGGGTAAACTGTCGTATTATAAATTGCTATTGACTGATTTAGATATTTTATGTCTGACCAACGACTATCGTTAATATTTGGGTATAGTGCACACTTTTTAAGGAAAAATGTAGTGTCAAGAAAGGGGTGTACACGATACTATCCAAAACCAGTCTTTGGTTGCGACCATTTCTCATAAGTGTTTTCGGAAATGTTTTGAAATATGGTAGCTGCAATAAAACTGCTAATTTTCGTTGAATAATCCCTGATTGCATTGCCAATTTAACAATTACGAAAAGTTGCAAGTTTAAGTCATATTATACGATAGAATCGGATAAATAAACACGAAAATAACGAAAAATTGCATCGCATTTATCACTCAGTGGTTAAAATGTCGCTCTTGGGTAAAATCATGATGAACTCTTCAATCTTGACAATAGGAATGTGTCAAAACGACATGGATAAAGTGGCGAAGTTAGCGAGTTTGTGTACCGTAAAGAGTCAAGGTCGCGTGATACTATTAACCGGCAGGAATTTACAATGTGACGCAATCAATCCATGCGAATTGAACCGATAATGATTTGAAAAATAAACATTAATGGGTTCAAAACAGCGTAATTCATTCCGATCTTTTTATTTCTAAGGAGATGCCGAAATCACAATTGTTTCATGTTCTTCATGTCTCGTGAATTCGGCTGTTGGCGGTCCTCGTCGAACCTGTTTGAGTGACTGCTTTTAAGCGTACACATTCTGCCGATATCGATGACCGATTCAGTCGGATTTGCAGACGATCAGAAAACTACTTGGAAAAGTGTTTTTCATATCAACAAAAAAAGTAAAAGATTTATTCGTATAAAAGATTGAATCTTTTCTGAAACTTATTGTTGTGAAAACAACATAGTTATTCTCTAATTAATGTTAATACCTGTTCTGCCCATGCCAGGTGACTGTGTCAGCGCGCAGATCTCCCCGTATTCGAGGTGTCAGTCAACACTAATGTTATATTTGAACATGCTTTCTTATTAATTCCATGTGTTGCATGGCTACCTAAACAGCATGTATGTATTTACACCTGGTCATTGTTAACCATTTTGATTGACAGGTGGAAATATATCCGTTGTAGCTTGGTCAATGATTTATCGGAAAATTATCATACAGAATGATGGGGTGACTTTCATGTCATTCTGACATTTCTAGTTTCTGTTAGCATTGCAATTTATTATACATGTATGTATTCTAAATAATCATAATGGCCTACACTAAATGCAGTGTTTTTTAACGACGCTGCAAATTACACCGACACTACAATGTTGTTTCCCACTTTATTAGATCAGTCACATATACGCCATATTTTGCAGATATTGTCCTGAAAAAAATATTAATTGAAAAAGATGAATTTAAATCCTCTGCTGGTCTGGTAGTTGTTTTATTACTGAAAGCTCATGCAAAAATCTAGAAAGCGACATTACTTGTTCTTCTCAAAGATGATCACCATTGAATAGAGTCATATTAACAATTACAGATTGTAGGTATGTTAAGTGGAATAAGCGATTTTTATTATTCGAAAAAACATCGGGGCATTCAAGGGTAAAAAAGGGACGCAAAGTCGATAAGACAGCAAGAACAATTTAGGAGAGACCTATTACAACCCCCACAGAAAAAACTGGAGGTGATTCCAGTAATCTTGAAAGTTCAGGTGTTTTCTGCTGTACGTGTCATGGTGTCAGATTGCATATATGAGCTTTCACGTTTTCAACGCTGAAGTTGCAGATCTTGGAAAATGTTACGGATGTGTCGATTATGTGAAGAGTAGATCAAGAAAATCTTAAATAATATCTAAATGCAAAACAAAACCTGAACAGTGCACTGACCACTGCTGTTATGGTATATTGGAAGGAATTTGTGATAGTAAGTAATAGGTGTGAAGTATGAGGTTGCAGTTCGTCATATGAACGTACGAAAAGGTCGATTTTACCAGGATATTTTCCAGCTTACTTGATATATGTAAAGAAAATTAGTATGGATAGGCATACAAGTTCAAATATTTCGTGGATAATGATTCCAACAGAAGTGAGTGCATAAGTGCTTTGAATAATTTCATAACGTCTTTATCCCTGAAACAGACCCACATCGCTTTTATATGAATATAGAAAAAAGACTATAAATTTAAACGAAAATTATTTTTCAAGACCTGTAAAAGTAAGGGGAGGTGAAACTAAATTATTGAGTTGTTATTAGACAAGATTTGATTTTGTTTACAGTCCGCAATCTCATTTTTTCAACTTCATCGTCAGACTTTTTGTTATTGTATATTGAATCTATCTCGAGTATCAGTTTGACTGTTGGAAGTGTTTCATAATTACTACGTTTGGTGCTTAATTCAGAACGCTTGATTTGCACGTTATTGGAAGGAGATTATGTAGATCGTGATGTTATTTAAAAATCCATTAAAAGTAAAGTAAAACGCTGAAGCAACTGCTGCAAAATAATCACTGGGACCATGTGCAGTTAATAATCTTAAATATACGAATAATGAACTTTTTTGTCAACCAAACTTTGATTTCAATTTCAATTTCCAATATGCAAACCTCAACGATGAGAAACCGCAACCTCACATGTGTCGTTGGATATGATGTCTTTTGTCAATCAACGAAGGTTTCAATCAAAGGTGACGTGATATCATGTAGTTTCCAATCTGACTTCACAAAATATCTTTCTCCCATATTTCGAGCCTCTATGGTAGACTCTTTGGCTTACATGCGTATTTGCCATCAGGGTTGACGCTTAAAGACTATACTTCAACGAAGTCCGCAATAGCTTATCAGCTGTGCGTCATGCAAATTCCATGTATAGCGTATATATTTGACATAACTGAACACTTGAAAGAAATCCAAGAAGACAGTTTGATAAACAGTTTAACATCAACTTAATAAATCGTACTCTACCACGACTTCGTAATTGAATTAATATATATAATTATCTAATGTTCTTCTCAGTTGAACAGTTTCGTTCAACTTTTGTTGTGGACCATCACGAAATATTATTAAATCTCCAATTGTCCCGTGCTTGCAAATTAAACCACCATCTGTGGTGTTTTTTTTATCTATCAGAAAATTTAACATTAACCCTCATGTAAAAGAATGCATACATTGTGTATTTGTATATTTGCTGTAGTGTGTATTCTTGACAGAAAGTTGTCAAACGAAGAGAAGGATTGTAAGCGTTCATCGTTTTCTCTCTATAGGACCGTTGTCTTACTGTATATAGCGGGTACTTTTTGCGGTGGTTAATTCTTTTTCTTTTTTGGAAGAAAACTTTACCTTTATTCTTTCGCTTTTAAATTTGTAAGATATGTTTGAGATTAAGTGATCGTCGAATCAACGAAGAGCAATCTAGAATCGTTAAAATAGCATTGTCATTATTTCAATATAAGTAACAGAATAGGGCTACAAGTGCGCCAATCTTCAGTTCATCAAGATGGTCGAAAGTGCGGTTAAGTCAATCTTTGAGTTAAATTGTTCATTTGGATTGCATCGATCACACATATACTATTTTTGTATATAATTGCAATGGCAAAAACAGTCAAATGCATTTAATCTATTTGCTTCTTACACATCACAAGAAGTTAAAATATATGAGGAAACGGTTTCACGTACAAAAATTGTCACAGCCGACAATATGTATTGTTAGCCTTCAGCGATATTTCTCAATAAAAAATTCTCTACCCCGAAATACCCCTTAACAATTTACATCGGAATCCAATTTATCTTCAGTGACAGTTTCATTGTCGGCAAATATTTGGTGTCATGTTAGAGCATGTGTTACCTTACTGAAGAAACGATATACATTGTAGTTTACTGGTTGTAGTATTTGAACTGACAACATTCACATAACGTCATTTCCTGGCAATTTTATCTTGGAAAATATAGCAGGATATTTTCGTGGGGACGATTTCACGGGTCAATAACATCACGCGATGATATGATCCGCAGAATAATAAGACAGGGGTCATGAAATAGCGCACACGTGATTATGATGATTCAAATACATAACGAGTAATGATGTGTGAAAATAGGTTACATCACACATCTAACAGTTTTGTTGGCGATCAAAATACACTTACATGCTATTACTAACATGTAGTATGCTGTCATAAAGCCTAATCATTTGATTATTTGACTTTATATACCGAGTGTTTCGTCGCTGTGCTAAAACACCGCGGAAAAATAGTTCCTTCAAATGTCCAGATCGCGAAATTATAATCCGTGTAAATTCAATTTTCTAATTTTGGGTCAAAATCGCGAAAACTTATTTTGTATTAAACAAGCGGACGTGAAGAATCATTTGTGTGATAATTGTTGTATGTACATTTCTAAGTAACGCTTTATTTCCTCAGCCGGACGTTAGAAATTTCACTCCTGGAATCAAATACTGTAAATTATTTTGCGACTATTAATTACATATATATTTACTTTAAGCGTCGAAATAGTTTCCTCTCACTCGCGTTTTTAGGTTTTTGCAAATAAAACTTGCAGGCATAGTTCGCTATATAAAAATAATGTTACCAACAACAAATTACAAAAATCGGATTTCGTTAACCTATCTGTGTTAGAAAAGCATGATATGACGGGGTTTCTGTTGCACGTGATTGTTCAGGCCATTAATATAACCAAAACTGAGCATCCCTTAATTATAAACTCTACACATTTTGTTGTTGGGGATGGTTTACACGCCGGCTGATGAATGTATGTTATTTGTAAAGAATTGAGACTGTCCCTTTCATTCCTGTTCACAAGATATTTCTACAGTGTTAACCTGTTTATAATTGAATGTTGAAACAGATACCATGACTACAGCATGAAATAGATAAAACTTCCACAATTCCTTTTTAATAAACTGTTTCTAAAAAATAGACGAAATAAAAGACAAGAACAGCTGATGAGACTCAATCTATTTTTATTAGTTTAGGAATGCATATAAGACACGTTGACATATGTTTTAGATCTGTCGTTATAACATACAAGCGTTTGTTAAAGATTGGAACAGATTGATCAGTCTTCGATGTTATATTTCTCGGCCGTTGCAGACAGTTGTTATGTCGTCAGTTTGTGCGTATATTTTCCCGAGAATGCTTTAGAAACAACATTTCTCTAAGTTTAAACATGTCTAACTCTTGCTCCTGACTCGAACAGCACAGCTTATCCACTTTTTTTGTCCTTTTGAGAAAATTGGCATCTTAAGATGTTGTCTTTTTAAACAGTATTGTGCGCTTGTAAGTCGACTGGGCCGTTTTTATGTTTTGTTCAGTTCAACCATCCATCTTTTTACTGTGAGTCACTTGGCATGCCAGATGACAAGGGGAGTCCGCTTTGCTTTGACTGAAGAAAGGAAAAATATACGAAATCAGATATATATTTCGTTAATAACATATTTGTTTCCTGAAAGTGAAATCGGTGAATACGGCCGATAGATAATTACTAGCCATATCATGTCTCATAATTTGATATGAAAGACATGAACAGAACATTTCATTTATCAAATTTTATGCATTGGTACACTATTTGAAGGTATATTTAATATCAAAATACGTACTTGTAAAAGGTTGATGATGTCATCATATCCCGAGCTACCGCAAGATTTAATCCTTTTAACTTCATCCTGGATAAAATGAAAGAAAGAATCATCAGAAAGAAATTTCTGTAATGCAATTTAAAGATGAAATATTCATATAAAGCGTTTCTTGAAACAGTATTGTACTTGTGAAGCAGTATCAAATTCGTTAAATCCATGACAATGATGAAAACAATCTGATTACAAAGGTACGATCACATATGTTCGTTTTACATTCATCTATCAAATCTCATCGTTTTTGAAAACCTTTTATACTAAATCATATCTTACTTCAATAATCCAAAGGAGTAAGGCTTTTATATGAGGTCTGAAGCTGCACAATTGTGTACCAGAGGTCATCATAGGCGCTCGTTTGCCTGGTTGCCAGCCATTACTGTAATGGAAATTTTGTCCCGACACCACGGCTACTAATAAACCGGCCAGCAATAATTGCGCCACTAGGATCTGTGTGTAGGATGACATTTTCTGGAGAGAAAAAAGAAGAAAACAAATTAACAGATAAAACAAATTTGTTCAGGATTGATATTAGCAGGTCCTGTTCAAATACCGAAACTCTTGAAGATTTTCAAGTTTGATTTATATCTATTGGCTATTGTCGCACCTGTTATGTAAAACATATTTTAATACAGCATTTCGGAAGCGGGAAGCCTAAGGTAAAAAATCATAGTTTTTTCTTCTTCTGAATGACTACAACGTGTGTGTACACAAGTGCATCAATGTAGGATATCCAAAATCGTAGAACACAGCAGACTTCATTCTTGAGTGATGAATTCTACAGTTTAAATCATATTTGATAGACTGTAAGTGTTTTTTTATTGATTTAAATGGTGTATATGTTGGTCCTTACCTCTTTGAATGAATTTGAAATATTTTTTAATGTTTATATATGTATATATTAACTTAATTGCAAACGTGTAATAAGCAACACACACCGTTAACGATCCGTGTTTCAAGTTACCGTATGTAAATTGACAACGGAGTTGACTACTATCCGAGGCTGATGGTACAGCTGTACTTCTGGCAGCTGACCCTAATCATCAGGTTAGTCCCGATCCTGTATAATTGCTGGCACATTTGATGACATTATGGTAATTGTTTGTCTCCATTGGACACTTAAGGTTAGTCGTTAAACAGATCACGTGGACGTTGATTACATCGATGACCAGCCTGGTATATTTAGGAAACTAGACTGAACACACCCCTTTAAATCAGCTGCGTGGTAGTTTAAACTTGGTGTGACCTTTGAGCGCTGGCCTTAAATACACATACGCAAATGCCAGCATTTTTATTTATTTTTTTCTATTTCACAAAATTTTATCAAGAAGCGGACATTTGTTCCTCGTTTCTCGCAGAAGACATCAAGATTGTAAATACATCTTTAAGGGGAAATAATGAAAAAGATAAAATAAAATAATGTCTTACTTTGATTTAATGACATATTGAAAAATGACATATTGAAAATATCCGCATTCGACGACAATATGCACAATAAAATGAAGTCAAATGATTACTTTCGTTCTCATTATCTGAATTTAACTTGCAACATTTTGTTTGTAACATTTCTTCGTTTATCATCGATAATTGTCAATATATTTCATTAAGATATAAATATTTGTGTGTATCTGTTGCGTCTCACTTACAGGGTACTTCTAACGAACACAAGGTAAACGGAAACGGTTCGATAACAACTGCACAACCTGCACACTGACACTGACACTGGTAGAGTAAACTCTATCAGAGTATCGCATTAGATTCCTTGATCAGCCACACCTTTTGCACTACCGCTTTTACAAACATCAAACACTGTAATACTTAAAACAATGACAAGGAAACATTGTCTATCTATGTTATAGATGAATTATAGGAATGAAGTATAAGCCGTTACGCTGGTCGGCACTTTCAGACTGCCGAAGTGTATCAATAAAGATATCAATTCATGCGCACTCCGTTTGTCCCAATATTACTTTTATCATCAATCACAACTGCATACACATATCCTCCTCGTTCTCCTTTTGTGTAAGCCTGCATATCTTCGCTGATTTTAAAGGAAATCAACACAAAGTGTCATTTGTTATGTAACAAGGGTGCAACACGATCGTTGTGTATTCTTTCTGATCTGGTTACCAATCTAGGGTATACAATGCTACCTTGTGTGATCAGTGATTGCTTTTTCAACAAACGGACAGCGGCATCGCTATCATAGCAACACTGTAATCTTTTGTATTATAGTGCGATTTCCGAGTATGATCATATTTCAATTTACCTTACCGCCAATTTTATTACGATATGCATTGTTTAAATTGCATTGTGACCATAGCAAAAGACAGTGAATATATACTGTAATCAAAACCAAATACATTCTCTGTGTATGATATAAAATTCTTCCTTTAAAATGATTATATTTTTAAACAGTTTTATTGGTAATTTTTCTCTTATTAATATTTCATTTACTTGATAGCTTTAACTGTCATCTAGAACTCATCATTAATTATAATTATTTACAAATGTAAATGGTTTAATGATAGAATATGGAAAAGTACATTACATGGATTTAACGGCCAAAAAATCATAAAATTTTACGGCAATGCAGCACTTGACCAAAATAAACGACTTAGTAACATACGATTTTGTGAAATGTATATGAAAGAGCAGACAAAACACTTATCCTGATATTATTTTCTAGGTTTACCATAAAGAGTTGTTTACTACACAAAGAATGAAAAATAAACATATTGCAATACACGATAAACCATTATCGTGCAGCATAACATTTGAAGTTTATCAATGCATTAATGCAAATGTTTAAATGTTCCGCACCGATGTATTACTTCAATTTTCTAACTTTTAAATGAGTTTCTAATCAAAATTGCTTAACTTTGCTTAGCGATAACTACACAAGAATGAACACGAAATATATACGTTACTATATTTAGATACATTTTGACCAATTCATAATGATATTTCAAATAACAAGGTTTTAAACTTCGAAAGTTGTACTTTTTCTATGTTAATGATAGTTGAGACACCATCCACACTGCTTCGAATGATGTAAATGTTGGATTGATTACTTAAAGTTATTTGAAATACAGTTCAATATTACGTTTTCTGTTTTACCGATCTGAAATAAGCCGAATATATTAGCATAAGTCTCGAAAATAGTTTTATGAAGTTTTATGAAATATTTACAAATAAACATTATTTAAATAAAAGATTTCTAAATTTCTTATCTGGACGGACCAACAAATCTAGTTTCGTATTAGGATAACCGTTGCTAACCTTTTCGTCCTAGTAGAGTGAATACTAGCACTTACCTTACTCAGTGGCGGGTATGTGTGCTCCCTGTTGTTCACTCAGCCCTCCTGTTCCTTCGTACTTCTGAGACAATGGCAGAATAGCACAGTCCTGAACATTTTATAGTGCTGACGCAATCCTGGAAGACAGAGCAGAGCACCTGCTCAGAACAATGATGTATAGTTATGGGAAATGAAAGTGCCAACTACTGAAGCTTTTGGCTAGATTAAACAGGGAGTGATTTTTGGTCTATATACACGAAGGTATGATTATAGCGCTTTACAATTCTACTCCCCCGTATATGTTTGGGCTAGTGGGTAATTACGCTTATTTGTGTGATAGCTGTTTTTTCCCAATTTTAAGCGTCTCCATGTTAAATTTGTATTACACTGATTGGGCGGATGTTATTAATAAACTGAAATTTAGTGAAAATCAAGTGCTTTTAAGAAACTTCAATTTTAACAGAAAAGGTCTCCTGTTGTTAATAACACTGTATTTTTTCAAAAATTGCCCTTTTAAAGAAATCCTTCTATTTGTTATGTCATATACGTGATATCATATCGTCGAAGATAACTTCTTAATGCCATAAACACCGTGTTCAAATCATCTTAATGCATGTTATAAAGCAAAACTTCATCAGCACTCTCGTACTTACAATGTATATAATCATTTCTGTAATATCTTTTCTTGTTTGTTACAAATGATGACTGGACATTAATACTTTAACGTTTCATATTTGAAGTAATTTTGGGTTTAGAAGACATTTTACATCGGTAAAAGCATTAAATGTTGCCGGTGGTCCGTCTGTCGTTCGCCCTTGAACAAGACTTGTTGTCGCTATATCTTAAGAATCAAACAACTTGGTCCGTAATTTTTTATTATGTTATATTTAGCGACTGATTGGGAAAAAATGTCACAATGCCGCCGTCTTGAATATTGAAAAGTAAAGTTTGTTATTGCTATTTTTAAAGAAGTACTTCATAAACTTTCATAAACTGGTTTTGCGTGATCCTTAGTTGCGCAGGTTTAATTTTGAGAATGATTATGTACAATATGGCCACCTGACTGCTGTCTTGAAATTTGACTGTTTAAGTCGTCATGTTTGAATGCCATTTTGAGTCTAATCGCAGAATTAAGATGGACGTCAGGCAGCCATATTTACTTTCGATATCTTAAGTACTCTACCGCTATATCTCAAGAAGTGCTTTAATAATGCTCTTTTTAGGTCACGTGAGCTTTGCTCAAGTGACCTATTCCAATCACTTTCCGTCCGTCGTCGTTCGTCGTCCGTCGTCCGTCTTGATTCGTGCGTCGTGCGTCCATTTTTTACATTATCAACTTCTTCTCAAGAACCAGTGGATGGAATTTTTTCAAACTTGGTCAGAATTATCTTTGGTAGATAAGGCTACCAAATTGTAAAATTGGGATTCCTACCCCAACCCTAGCGGCCAGGGCGGGGCCCAAAAGGGAAAATTAACCAATATTTCAAAAATCTTCTTCTCCAGACTCAGAGGTATTACAGTCATTTTCTCTGCATGGATGGAAAGATCATCAGGGGCTTTATTTAAATTGTAAATTTCAGGACCCCCGAGCTATCCGTTCTCCCTTGGGGAGGGGGTAAAGTTTACTATAGTTTATATAGGGAAACAACACTTTTGGGTATATTTTGACAATTTTCTGTTGGAAATTATTTTTACTTGGTCAGAATCATCCTTGGAGGAGGAAGATGGTTTTAAATTGTAAAATTGGGATTCCTACCCCAACCCTAGGGGCCAGGGCGGGGCCCAAAAGGGAAAATTAACCAATATTTCAAAAATCTTCTTCTCCAGACTCAGAGGTATTACAGTCATTTTCTCTGCATGGATGGAAAGATCATCAGGGGCTTTATTTAAATTGTAAATTTCAGGACCCCCGAGCTATCCGTTCTCCCTTGGGGAGGGGGTAAAGTTTACTATAGTTTATATAGGGAAACAACACTTTTGGGTATATTTTGACAATTTTCTGTTGGAAATTATTTTTACTTGGTCAGAATCATCTTTGGTGGATGACGGTATCACATTGTAAACTTGGAATTCCTGCCCTATCCCCAGAGGGTTAGAGCGGGGCCCCAAAGGGAACATTTACAAATATTTTCAAATTCTTATCCTTTGATGACATGACAAGTATTGTATTTCACATAGTTTACATGCTGATTTCCACATCACATCTACACAATAAAATAAAGCTACTAGTACCTATGATATAACTCAGGTGACCGCTAAGGCCCTTCGGCCTCTTGTTTTTTGTTATCTTGGATGGAATTTTTGGTTAGAGCGAAAAACCTTGGTCAGGTTTCTGAACAAAATGTTTGTTCCATATAGTGTATCTATTGGTCTTGTTTTCGACGTTCAAATACAAAATCTTGAAATGACCAAGAATGACGCATCAGCTCAATCAGTGTAAGTATCTTGGGACATATTTATGTATAACGCCGACAATTACCTTGTTACATCTCAGTCAGCCCGAGGACATTCGTTTTCCAGCTGCTGTTCGTCAGTGACTACCCACACCACGGTCATAACTGCATGTCCGAGGGACCCTCAATCAGTCCGTATTATCGACGTGGTAGATGACTGGTCGACTGGAGTGGTCAACCATCAATTATTCATTCATTCTTGACACTGAGTCTAATAGCATTTTATGATTGCATTTTGAGTAAGATTTCATATGCGGCCTCAAACAAGTTGAAGATATATATTATGATTTAGCTTAAATTTGTACATGTATCTTCTTCGATAGGTGCTGAAAGAGTACAATTTTGCTGATGGTAGCTCCGTTGCTAAATCCTATCATTATATTTAATGAGTTACCTTATATGGGTTATAATGAGGTAGTTTTCTCAATAATTCACCGACTGACGTAATAATTTTGTCAAAGCCTGATACAGTATTGCTTGGAATGCATTCTGTGTAAGCAATTTTAAGGTTCTAGAAATGATGCGTTCAATAAAATCGCCATAAAGAAAAGCAGGTAACAGTATTAAAAGTTCGAAATTTTAGGAATATTAATGAGCCATAGTAAAATTAACAATAAGCGTTAAAAGAGGAAGTTGTTAAGACAATCCTTACAACTTACTCGGCTATTTATAATTTGTCGCTGTTATAATAATAATAATAATAATAAACTTTATTTATTGAGGATACAAAACCTGCTTAGCAAAGCTAATCTTCCATTGGGTCCTCTGTTAGTAAAATTGGTTAGTAAAAAGACAAAGTAGTATCACAGCAAATAGATGTACATAAAAATAATTATCACCGTTACTACTAAGACATAATTGTTGGTCTTACTAAAACAGCAATTCATATCACATTTGATCAGGGTTTAATGATAAATGCACTTCACAACTTTGTAACAGTATTTCAATATTCTCCTTCAAACAATCAAAGTACTAAAACAACTCTTGAAAGCATTCCTATGTCGCAAATAGGCTGATGATAAAAGTTTAAATTGGAAAAGTATAGGAAGGTGAGCATATTTTGTTACACACTCGACACAAATAAAATGTCGTCAGTTTTATTGTACGTACGGAGACGTTTTCATCGTACACCTACGTACGTCAATCTAAGAAATCCATCTTTCATCTGAATTTTAGGTTAAAAGTTATATTACAACATGACACAGAAGTACCAAAATGATACCTAGATATTTTAATGGGCATCGCCATAGGAGCTTCGTGGATATCAACCATCATTATAAAATGAGAAGAGCCACATTTACTAGCGTTTTTCAGGGACTTTTTATGGATCTATAAGTCTAGCTTAGGATTGAAGAAAATTTGATAATGTTTAACCGAAACTATTTAGACTAAATTTAATCAAGTTGTAGTGTTGGTTATAAAAGTGAAGCAGACATGTATGCAACAATGAAGTACGGATTTCCTTCACTAATTCAAATAGAAGCATGTATTGTAAGAGAAATGACAACATCCAGGCTAAATCTTCTGAATAAACAGTGTTTTTCACTCAAAATTAAAATGAAAGAAACCTGCTTATGAATTATGATTAATTTGTATAAACCGATATCAGAGGCATTTCACGGATCCGCGTACTACTGCCAAAAATGTAAATATGCATTGGAAATAGTTTGTTTGGTCGTGTCTGTAACATTAATAAACCATTAAAGAAACAAAACACATACCATGCCGGACTTTTATGAAAAAGCACTAAGATAAAATAAAAAAACATACTATCAACAACAGGGTTCTTGTATAAAATTTTAGCGGGTCTAGGCCGGGATTCGAACCCTGGACTCTTCAGATTCTTATACTATTACGCTAGCCGATTGAACTATCTGTTCAACGGAAGTGCACTGCCCCAAATCAAATGTACTACAGTTCCTTCCAAAACGAAATTTAAGGGAAAGATACTGTATATGCGAAACAAATACAGTGCAGTGGGACAGGGATCGTTACAGGGAACAAAAACATGCCAAAAATAAATAGATTGTTTCTTTTTTTTGAATATATGAATTACTGTGTTAAGTTAAACAAGTGGTTTTTTTACGGTTTTCTAAGGGTTTTCCGAATCACCTTTTGTTTTAATTATGACATACGATATTTCCAACTAGTTGGTTTAATGTGTCTGTTGGACAGCCTGGAATGCGACTTATCGACATGACAGGTACTACTTTTTCCTTTTATGCCCTTTTTCTCGCAGTCGTTTTCAATGTCACACATGTCATGTATGTATAACAGGGACGATTTCTTAAGAATTACCTTCACCAACGAGAAACAAATATCAAGTAACGAAGTTGTTGATAAACATCGTGTGAATGCATTTTTGTACAAGGGAACCAACAAGCTCAACTAGTATTACTACTATTGCTGCTATTGTGTAATACGTTATAGTTACATTGTATAAAAAATATGAAAGTAGAAATAAAAAGTAAACAGAAAAATACAGGAATCGCGCTCAGGACATTTCCAATTCAAAACCCTCACTATACCTTTGTTTTTGTCCAGGAATTAGAAATAAACAGCATCAAAATGGGTGTCAAAGTAACGGTCGAAAGGTCTATGAAAAAGTAAGACAGCGAAACTATTTTAAACCAGGAAAA